ACGTCGGAGGAGTGGGCCCGTGAAAGATGGAAGCGTGACAAGTAAATACGGTCCAACCGGGAGTGGCACGACCGATGGCCTCCCACCCGGACATAGGTGAACGTGGAGACATCGTCCGGGTGGTGGTTGCGCCAGACGTCTACCAGGGAGTGATGTTCCACAATCTCCCGGAGGACGTCCGCGGCGGCCGGGCACTGCTCGGTCCCCGAGTGGTCCCGCTCCTCGAGGGTAGCATTGAAGTCCCCTCCCAGGACCAGGCACTCACGAGGATCCAAGGAGCTGAGGAAGGCGGACGCCTGCTGATAAAAAGGCAGCCGCTCCGGGCCCGATGTCGGGGCATAGACGTTGACAAGGTTGATCACAAGCCCCTCCATGCGGACCCGGAGGTGCAGCCGGCGGCCCGGCACAACCTCGGCAACCCCCAGCACCTCGGGCCGTAGGTCGGGGGAGAACAGGGTAGCCACTCCAGCCGTACGAACTGCGAGATGGCTAAAACAGACCCTGTCCCCCCACTCCAGACGCCAGCTGTCTTTGGCGGTCGGATCCGTGTGGGTCTCCTGCAGGAAAACCACAGAGTACCCCCCCTCCCGAAGGAAGGGGAGCACCTGGCACCTGCGGAGACCCACCCTACAGCCCCGGGTGTTCAATGTTGCAAAAGTGATAGGTGGCATGAGGAGGACTGGGGGGGATCCTCGTTGGCAGGGACGCTCACGGCCCCCATTGGGCCGCGCAGCAAACCGTGACCCACCCCGAAGGTGAGCAAGGAGTCACGGAAGCTGCGCACCCGCTGGTAAGCCGCGGCACCCTGCTTCCCGGTCCTTTTACCCTCCCCCATGAGGTCCCTCGCAGCCCGGAGGATCTGGTGGAAATCCCCCCATCGCTGGAGAGCGAGCGGCACCTTATTGCGGGAGCCACGGACGTCTTCTAAAAACTCCCGCAGCACTTCTCTCAGCGTATGGGGGGGTGGGGTCACTGACTTCTGGTCATCCCCCGTTGGGGCCCCTGGCACGGCCCCGTGGCCCACCAAGACGGGCAGGCAAGGGGCGGACCCTCGACGTGGCGCCCGATGGACCGGCGCCACATGGCCCGTCTCAGTCCCTGGCTCAAAGGGGGGCGGCGGCGGAGGGAGGACAGCAGCCCCTAGAGGGTCGGGACTGGGGAACACAAAGGCCGCTCCCTGGGGGTCATCCTCCGGAAAAGAGAAGAAGACGTCCCCAGGGGCGGCAATAGCATCATGGGAGGTGGAGGGGATAGGAATCGGGCCAGGGGTAAGGGCAGGGACGGGGGCAGAAGTAGGGTCGGGAAGAGGGACAGAGGTGGAATCCCGGGCCCCAGGAGCTGGACAGCTGGAAGGTGGCTCCTCGCGGTCGGGCTCAGGGGTCTGAGGGTTAGGGAGGGGGTCCCCAGGGATGCCGGGCTCAGGCTCTACGGCAGATGGAACAGCCACGGCAGCAGGAGGTGAACAATCTGCAACGGGGCCCCCACCCGGGAAGGAACTCGGTTGCCCCACGGCAACGAGGGATACCCCTGGTAACTCGTGTCCCGGCCGCGAGGCACCGGCCGTCGCCTGAACAGGCTCGGCGGCCGTCAGCAAGGTGTCACTCGCAGCCGGGCAGGTCAAAGAGCCCAGGGGCTCCGCTGAGGCAGGAGCAGCGGTTAGGGGCACGGAAGACGGAGAAAGGGGGGCTGGGGTGAGGTCGGCCAGATCGAGGCCCGCTGGCAGAGGGTCGTCCTCCCCCTGGGTGACCGGGGTCAGACCCAGGGCCTCGATCTCCTCATAGACAGAGGACAGCTCACCTCCCACCACCCCAGGGTCTTCCCCGCTAGCACCCGAGGCGACACTTTCCTCGGGCACCGCAGGGGATACAGGTGGCAAGGGAGTAGGAGGGGCATCAACGGGGGCCTCCGCAAGGAGGGTCTGCGGAGGACGGATGGTGGGATCCTCCGGTGCTGCCACACCTTCCCCAGCCGGCAACGGTTGATGTAATGTACTCACGGGCAAGGTGGAAGGCTCGACAGCGGTGCCCCCCTTCCTGGTTTTCCGGGGGGCCTCCGCACCAGATGGCAGGAGCGGAGCTCAAGCCTTCCGCTTGCCCCACTTTCCCTGTACCAGGGTCCAGCCCTCCATGGCAGTATCCGTGGGCTGGGTGACAGGGGTTGGGTCGGGGGGCAGAGATGATGGCTCGA